CCACTTTGAGCAACCGTCCGAAAATAGCTGAGAGTTTGCCCGGCCTAATGACCCCGCAGGTTGTCCAGGGCACTTAGCCCGTCGGACGGTCTTACAAGGCAAAATATATTTTACAAAAAAATCCAGACATTCAGGGTTTTTTTTTTCATATGAGTAACCAAGCAGCTTTTGCTCAGAGTCCATTATGGGACGGTCAAAGGTCAGGGTCCTTAGAATTTTCATTTCAGGTTATTGGTGCTGATTTGACCCAGTCCGTGACCTTTAAGTCCCAGCTAACTAACAAACCCTACACAGAAAAGTCTCAACAACAATCCGCACCAATGGCCATTGGCTGTGAGACCACATTTCTGCCATCGACAACAGCCCAAAGCCCCCCCACCCCCACAATGGCCCAAGCTCCATTCCTCAGGGCACAGGCTATTAATATATTAATATAGCCTCCTTCTCCATACATCCTTTTCCCGCACACAAACACACACTCAGGCACTAATGGTCTGTGGTCACATGACTGCAACCAATGCTGAGGTCACGGCGAGGAATCAATGGTGTTATTTTGCTCTACAGATCATGAAGGCTGCACGGATGACACACGGCCGTGCTGACCTTGTGCTGTCTCTTCTATATTTACCCCCTGTGCGTGTGTGTGTGTGTGTGTGTGTTGTAATAAAATACTCTAGTGTCTATCATGTGATACAATAGCCTTCAGAATATCCACCAAGTGTCAGGTGTAAACTATTTACTGCGTCATCAAACTTCATCACCAGGTATTTACATTCTGGGATGTTGTCAAATTGTCCACCAGGGGGCCTTGAAGGGAAAGCATGAAGCAATTTTGTAAAAACAATAGACAAACAGAAGGCCCGCGGGTCAAATGTGGCCCACCGTATAATTTTATGCGGCCCTCCAGAGCTTCTTATGTGTACGGTTGTCTAAAAATATATACGTTTATGTTAAAGATTCTCATCAAGTCTCACACAAATCTCCAGATCTACACCTACAATGAATACGGTCAGAACATTGAGGACGACCAGTTCCTGGACCGTGTGGATTGGAACGGGAGCAAAACCAGTAACGACATCCAGGATGCATCCATATACCTGTTAAACGTGACGTTCAACGACTCGGGCACCTACCGATGCTTGTTCAACCGCCGCCTCCTCTATGGACGGTACGAGTACGACACCAACGTCATCAAGCTAGTGCACCTCACTGTGGTGGCCAAAGGTAAGGCGTCACGTCAGTTCTTTTCTTTCACCGTGAGGCCTCGTTCTTGTCACGCGGTACTGGCATGTCGCAAAAAATCTCCGGAGCATCTCTCTTCTAATGTGGCTGTGGATGTTTTCAGCCACCAGGGGGACGGCTTCCATCGTCTCAGAGGTCATGATGTACGTGTCCATCATCGGCCTGCAGGTCTGGCTCCTCATAGAGATGATCTACTGCTACAGGAAGATAGCAGCAGCCGGAGAGGAAGCACTACGAGAAGCAGCGTAAGGATCCATTTTCTGTGTCCACCTGCTGACCCCCCTGGTCAGTGGGTGGACACAAAAAACCTGCATGTCTAAACCCCGCTCTAGTGGCCAATCATTGCACTTAGACAGGTCGTATCAAACCCACAATTTCCTTCTGGAAATGTGTTGTTTACAGGTCTCAAGTTGCAATTTTCTTCCCCAATTATTAGGCCTGAGAAACAGTCCACACTTTAATCCCACTGGTCTGATCCAAAGGAAACGGCCACAGTGTTGATCGGGTCAGGTTCCTGTTGGGATCAGACTCACCTTGTTCTTCATACACACTGTCTGTGAAAGTCAGTCCTGTATATGGGATAAGTGAAAACTAGTTCATCAGCTCATCCAATTTTGGCTACAGAGGGATCGCATCTGACCTACAAAGTAGAGGTATCTCAGGAGAAGCAGTCTGTCTCCAGATTTTGCAGCATTATTGAATCTTCCAAAAAAAATAAGGTCAAACCTGAACTGGAAAGAGTTCCTTTCTTCACAGAAACACAGAAAAAAACACTGTTTTTGTCTGTGGAACAAGTTCTTCCCACGTTCTGTTTGAACACCTGAATGTCACTTGAGCGGGTCACGACCAACACTTTTAGGCCCATACTGCCACCTACTGTACCAGAGTGTGTAGTGTCCTGGTATGACCAGTGACTTTCTAACACGACGCAGCATACTGCCACCTACTGTACCAGAGAGTACACCTTCTCCTTAGGCCTTGATGTGCGATTCTTTTTTTTTTTTTTAATTCACCCGTTCCAAATTGGTCACGCATTTGTATTGATTTGGAACCGATTCACGATGAATCGTTACAAACCTCAGATCAAAACTACCTGCACGTCAAACGCTGTAGTCCTTTAGAGGCTGCCATGTCTTGTGAGCGGGTCATTAATTTAACCAACAGCTGGGTGCGTTAACATGTAATTACTGTGTTGAACCATCGTAGAGTTCTCACTCATGAAGCCAGTTTTGATTATTGATACAAAATAAAATAAAATAGGATCAATAACAATTCTAACAACTCACTGCCTCCCAAAGTGGGGGGCGGGCCCCATTTGGTGTCATAGCGCTATTGGTGGGGGTGAACGATAGTCCTGTGGACAGAAGGGGGAGTGGCTGTAGAAAATGTTAAGACACCCAGCTCTACTTTTACCTTTTTATTAAAGTCAAATCCTAGTGGGTTTTTTTTTTGCATGTCATGCTGCCGAACTGAATCATTTGGATGTTTTATGTTTGATCTTGCGTTCTTCCTCCTACCCCTCTGACCGACCTGTCTTTTAATGTGGTACTCACTGTCTTCTGTGTTTTTTCACGTGTGTCTCTTTGTCTAACACTGCACGCTGCATCCTTGTCGTGTTTGCACCTTGTCCGTCTTGTTCATGTCGTTCCTCCTCCTAACCAGTAAAAACCAAACACAAAACCTCCCTCCTGTAAGTGGAAAAAAAAAATCCCATCACACTGTCACATCATCATCACCATCATCATCATCATCATCATACCTGACTAATTCTGATTGTTTTTAACCACAATTACTGCCAAGACTGAAGTGATTTACTCTTTGTTTTTCCACCGTTTCTTTCCAGAAATGCTGAATATTTAGCAATAGCCTCGGAGAGTAAAGACAACTGTGCAGGCGTGGAGGTCGGACAATAGCACAGGTACGACGACATCATCGGATTATCATCAAAATAAGAAGTATTTTACCGCTGTGTTGGAAGCTAACAGTGTTTAACAATAAACACACAGTGGTTCTTAAACTATGGCAATTGTACCACAAGTGGCTCCCCCTAGAGGTGTACGTGGGAAATCTGGAGAATCACTGGGCGAGGGCAGAAATCTAAATTGTCGCGACCCCACGCAGTACTGCCTTGGAACCACTTGGTGTTCATAGCTTTTCCTGCACAAAGCCCTAACTGTAAACACGGAGTGGGTTAATGCTAATGATTGTCTGGAGACGCTGAGAGGAGCTGGAGAGGCTGTGGTAGCAGGAAACAATCAAACACAGCTGTGGCTGAGAAACCACCACCGTGGGGTTTTGGCATTCAGTGATTGTCGGTTTTGTTCAGAGATGCAGCGGAAATCTCCGGAATTCACCGTCCAATCAGAGAAAACAGACCATTGTTTTTGTGTTTTCTGCTCTAAACTTTCCGCTGCAGTAAAATCTATCCTGTTCCCCACTATCACCCTCAGGGTTCTTCCATGGACTGAGACCCTCCTTCCACCCTCAGACCTGCATGAACAGAGGAGACAGACTTGTCCTCGTCACCTCCGACCTCCAACTTACTGTTTCCCCCCCCTCGACAACTACCATCACAGATGGATGACATTCAGAGAGAGCATGGAACCAGCACTGTATATAGTATTCTGCGCATGTTCTGCACTAAAGTAAACTATAAACCAACCCATTATGCATTAACGAGCCACATTGTTAAAAGCATATACACTACGTACAGTATTTCTGAAGGCATATGTACTGGTACTGTGTGGACAACCACTGTAGACAACAAGGTTTTTACTAATTCATCTCCATGTCATGTATTTAAACAGAGGCACACATTATATATGGCACAGATATTTATAAAATATAATGTGATGGATTACGATACAGTGTCATTCCAGTTGCTAGCTGTACTTACACTTTAAGATGTACTAATAAAATCTTCGTAAAATTAAAAAAAAACAAAAATGTTTTCCTCGTTCGACCAAACTCACAATTTACGTAACTCAGAGTGTAACCTGGGCCTGTTCAGCTGAACTCACTGGAATTGAAGAAAGACACAAACGAAGATCTCTAACAGCCAAGAGTCTGCTGCCCTCTAGTGAAGAGCATTTATTGTTCTGCCTGTCTTTGTCGATTTGACGAATGACGACAAATTATTTGCAGTAAGTAAATACAATAAAGTATGACATCATCACCATTGCCATGGTTACGTGACGTTTACCTTTAAATGGTAATGAGGTGCAGTGTGCTCTGCCCACATTTTCCACAGGGGGGAGACATGAGAACAACGTAATAAATTGATACGTCTGACTGTTGGTCAAACCTGCGTCACTACAGTTGGAGAACACAGTCTGTTCCAGGATACTGAGGCAGGTTCAGCCCATACTTCCTCTCCAGGCCCGGCGGCACGAAGCGCCCTCCCAGGAAGTGGTAACGCCCCCTAAACTGGAGGGCAGATTTTTTGGGAGCGGTCAGAGAGATGAGCATGTCAGGCTGGAGTCCGTCGACACTGCCCCGCTCCACGTCCCATCCTTGAACACACATCATAACATCCAGGTGTTGTTTTTTTTTTTTTGTCATGTGCGTCACGCAGGGCATCGTGTTTCTTTACTGCACATTTGAAAACAAACACTCTGACACCACTGACCTGAAGGGATGTCCACGCTGGCTATGGGCACTGTGGTCTTATTCAGAACCTCCAAGATGGAACCAAATGGTTCTCGCACTGCCCCTTTAAAGCTGAAGCCAAAGATGGCGTCCACCACCAGGTTGTACGCCTCATCAATGACCGCGGCCTGATCACATAAATAAATTAAAAATATTGTGAAACAAGACTCCATGAACCACTCACTCAGACTGTACACACATGTACTGTAGTACTGATCACCCAGAGTGGACAATACTACAGGAAACAACTGCAGACTCGTGGGTACAGTGGACAGGAAACTTCCAAACCTCAGGCATCTCAGTCAGGAAAGAGAGCTCCATTTTCTGGCACTGTGTGGTCAGACCCTGGAACAGAGGTTTGTTTGGCCTCTTGGGGTAAATGATGGTGGGCTCGTAGCCCTGCAGGAGGAGAGAAGACCACTGTCACTGGGATAATGGACAACATCCCTCCTTCATCTGCGTGTTCTCCACGGACGAGGAGAAGCTGCTGCTGCTGCCGTCACAAACCCATCAAGGATATCGAAACATGCTATAAAGCAGTGGTTCTCAGACCTTTTCTGAGGCACTTCCTGTCTCTTTGTACAGGACAGTTGTTGAACCTCAACAAATTCAAAACAGCAACTCTTTAATTACTACAAAACTTTGACTTCTGCTTTTTAAAATGTTCAAATCTGTACAAAACAGATTTTTAATTAAGAGAAAACATAAAACATAAATCTGACATACTGCCTTCCTGCATCCACCTGCAATTGCTCTGCGCCCCCTAGAGGGCGCTGCCCCCCACCTTGGGAACCACAGAAGAAAAGCATTCAGAGAAAACGACCTCCACGTGCACCATGTGAACACAGTGAGGAAAAAAAAGTTCCTGGAAACAACAGCTTGTGTTCAACAGGTGGGGGGGGTGGTGGAGGGGTGGAGAGAGAGAGAGAGAGAGAGAGAGAGAGAGAGAGAGAGAAAGAGAGAAAGAGGAAAAAAGCGTTTTTTTTCTTTTCAGCTGTTTCCACTTTTCAGAGTATTTCTAGCCAAAATCTGATTATAATTTTGGTTGTTTGGTTTTTTTTAAAATGAAGAATGTTATTGCTGGTTATGTTCCGACTTATACTGGCATTTCATTGGTCTGGAGTTTAAAAAAGATCCAGCGCCTAAAAGACAACTGTGTCTCTGCTGTGTCAAGAAATGAGGAGATTTTAGTTATTTAAATAGAACACAAATAGAACATTTTAACACTGATAAATAATGATCATATGCCTTGGAGTGACTTCACATCTGAGGCAGAAGCAAATGACAAACATCCACGTAACAAGAGGAGGGAAGAGAACTCACAAAGAGCTTCAGGTGTCGAGCACAGACCAGACCATCGCCTCCGTTGTTGCCTGGTCCACAGACCACCAGCACAGAGGGCCTGGGCTTGACCAGTGAGGTGAGTGGGTATCCCTGAGGAGAGGAGACTTAATTTATTCTCCTGCAGCTCAGCTGTCCACTGACTGTTCGTCTGTTTGGCCTGAACCTCACCCGTGTGATGGCTGTGGCACAGCTGAGTCCAGCCAGTTCCATCAGCTGGTCCACGCTGAAGCCGTACTCCGTGAAGAGCTCCTCGTCGATGTGCTGCGCCTCCTCCTGCCTGCACAGAACCTGCAGCTCAGCGTGGACCAGCAGACCGTCTGTGTCTGTGTGTGTCTAACAGTCAGCCTTACCCCAGATACTTGATGGTCTGAGCCATGGTCGACGCCGGTCTGCTGCTCACGCACGATGTTTTTGTGGGGCCGTTACTTGAAGCAGGCACAGAGCATGTCCCCGTCTGGGCCAGGACCGCAGTGGCTCGTGAGGTCACCAGGACACCGATCCCAAACAGAGCTCGCACACTCAACATCCAGAGGGACGCACGTGCTGGGGAAAAGAATGAAAAGATGAAACAACACAAACTTAAAAAAAAAAAAAATTTCTTTATGAAAGGTTGCAGGCAGAATATCTTTAAATGCTCAATCCGACAAGATTTCTAACAATGCAACTAAAAACTGTAATTTGACAATTTTATTTAAAAACTTAATTCAACAAACAAAACAGACGGATGAACCTTCGCAATGCTTTATGGGTAACATTGTTCATATGTTTCAAAACGTTCTGAACGTTTCAAAAAAGTACTTCTTTTGTGGACAATTGAAAAAACTGGGTAACATTGTTCATATGTTTCAAAATGTTCTGAACACAAAAAAGGACTTCTTTTGTGGACAAGTAAAAAGACCAAACGATTTTGATAATAACTTTATTGAATATCGTTGAGTTTCCTTCATTTCTCCGACAAATTAAATTAATAACCAACTAATGAACTATGTAAATATTGCTTGCGACCTTGTACCGACATATTGTCAAAGGACTATAAAATACACCCGGTACTTTAAGTGCAGAGTGCAGAGTGCAGAGTGCAGTGCTTTAAATTTTAATTTAAACACCGTGGAAACCCCACAAACAGAAGTTACACTCTCAGGTTTAGAACTGTAGGTTTAGCTTTGCACCGAACAGGTGAAGGTAGTTTTTAACATATTTATCTATTGTGCCGACTCAATTGTAACCAAACATTTTCTAAAGTCTCCAAAATGCTTAAAGAACCCCTAACACGTTTATGTTTAAAACATTAAAAATGGAAACAACTTACAAATCGGTAAAAGTGCTGTTAAACGAGCGAAAAAATCAGGAGTATGGCTTAAACTGCACCTGGTTTCCGGTATTGAAAGCAACAACGTTAACCTTTCAAACTAAAAGCTGATCTTGGGTCGGTGATACATGCCCTAATGAGGGGAACACAAGTTGTGCTTTTATTGTGAAAGGAAATGTCCAAAGAGGAAAGTGTTTCCACTTGTCAAATAAGCATACGGAAGTAGCAAAAACACAACGCAATTTTTTAAAGATTTAATTTTTAGTATTTGCTATATTACTGTTTTTCTTCTAATAAAAATATCGCCTTCAAAAACTACAGAAAATACAGATGTCGATTAACATAAAAACTAGTTTCGTAAAAGTACAGAAACAGTGAATTGACAATAAATATTTGCAAAGATTAGAGTTTAAGATCAATGTATTATTATTATTATTATATCTAACACTACTATTTCTGCTACTACTAATAGTTATAATTTGATTATAAAATATATAATATATTTTAATATTAGCTATTTAGGATAAATTAGAAATTCTACTGCGTGACAAGCACAAAAGTACTTAAATACATATTAAACGTTTTCAATTTATTTTAACATAAATTATTTCTTTTCATTTCAATGATAACCTTATTTAGTAATTAAATTCAACATTTTCTATACATATCAATCAATGATTTGTTTATTTGAAGAAAATGACTACCTTCAAGAACACAACACAAATGTAAACATGTTTATTGATTCAGTAAAAAGACAAAAACAATATGGTGATATTCTCTTACAAGGCTGGGGGCAGCAAAGCATGAAAACACATTTTTCTTCCAAGGGAGTGATTGCATATGATTTCACCACAGCCCTGCTGCGTCAGTGTTACATCAGCCTTAACAAGAGAGACTAAAAAATTACAAGTTTATCGTAAAAAGTTTTATCAAATGGTTACAGCATTGAATATTTTTTCTAGCATAACTTGCATTAACATATCCTTGAAAAATAACAGGTAAAAAAAGGTTCAAATTCTTCATATCATCTATGTAATTTTAAAAAAACACAACCTCTCTCAATGTAAGAAAATATTCCCTTTGAATGTCCATGACACTTTATAAAAAAGCTGTTTATTTCATTCAATACAATGAAAAAAAAACAACCAAAATACAGTAACTGGAAAAAAACTACATCTAATCTAAGTCAAAGAAAAACTGAAAAATCAAATCGTTTATTAAAAGTTTTTCGTGGAGGATCCAGGGCTTCACATGACTGGACACATTTCCATCTTCCCTCCATTCTGTCGGACAAAACAACAAATTAGATTCTCTTACTGTTAAAATAACAAGTATTTTTGCGATAAATCAAAGTACAAAACACTGTTAGCTGTCTGGAGGAGGTGGAGGTGTTTACCTTGCGAGGAGTGCTGGTGCTGACGATGTAGGAGTGGGGCAGTAAACCCTCCGAGATGCCTCCGCTGCGGAAAGAGCGGGAGGCCGAGGTGACGGAGCAGCTGCTGGATTTGTCTGAGGGCAGTCCACAGGAGCCGCACACCACGGTCCGGCTCCTCAGGTTGTACTCCCCGTCCCCACAGGTGCTGTGCGCCACCTGCTGATGCGGAGGAGGCGGAGATTCAGTCAACACGAGGCCGCCCTCCGTCAGTTAGAGTCTGAATCGTTAGAGTGTTATTCTTCTCACCATGTCGTCGTCGTCTTCTTCAAACTGAGTGCGAATCACTTTCCTCATCGCCATCTCCTGGAGGAAAAGATGACATTGTTACAGGGAGTCTGGACATTTCTGTCCTGTGTGTACAACCTGACCTCATACCTCTCCACTGGCGCTGATCAGGGTGGTCTGGAACGTGTCTCCGATGATCCAGGACGGCTGATTCTTCCACACCAGGTCAGATGGAGGACTGTGTGTTCCACCGGCACCGGAGGCCCAGATCTGACCATCACAAAATATGAATGAAAAAACATGAACTATTTGTCTGAGGCTTCTGAGAAGCCACTAGTCCTGGAGTTTGCCCCTCACCGTGACTCTCTGCCCGGCCTTCAGGGTGAATTTGGCGGGAAACTTGAAAATGATGGGAGAGCCAGATCCCACCTGTCGCTTCAGCTGCCAGTTCCCCAGATTCTGATCCTGCGAGGACCGAGATCAGTGTTACATCAAAGCTTCCTACTTCAGTTGAAGACGCCTCGCATTCAGAGTCTCACCTCGTCCGCCTTGTTGCTGAGTCTCACGTATTTGCCCTCCAGATCCACCTCGTCCACGGTGCACCGTCCACTTGCTGAGGCCTGCTGGGTAATGCGAGTGCGAGCCACGGATCCCCCCGTGAAGCTGGAGGCCTCGCTGTCCGTGTCGTTGGGGCGACGCCTCTTGACAGGTGAGCTCTGAGAGCTGCAGAGGACCGACCTGGACTGAACCACCGAGGTGGACGAGCGACTTCCTGTGGCTTTGGTCGGCGGAGGACTGGGGGACAGTCGGAGCCTGCAGGGACAAATATGATTATAGTGATGAAGATGATGAAGATGATGATGATGAGGCCGGAGATGTGATCAAAGCTCTGTTCATCACCTCTGCTCCTCTCCCTCCAGCAGCTTCCTGTAGGCTCCGATCTCCATGTCCAGGGCCAACTTGACGTCCAGGAGCTCCTGGTATTCGTCCAGCTGCTGCTGCATCTGCTGCCTTATCTCAGACATTTCTCTTTCCTTCTCTCCCAGCAGCTTGCGTGTGGTGTCCCGCTCCCGGGACAGCGCGTCCTCCAGGTCCCTTATCTTTGCCTCACGGGCTGCAAGCTAAATCAGAGCCGGAGTCCATGTTAGCTGAACGTAGCATAATTACTATTATTATTTTGCTAGCTTTGAGCTGTGCTATATTTAGCTGTAACTAATTTTAATCAATTCTGGGTGAAGATTAAATATTGTTTCAGCTCATTCTTAGCTTTTTGCCTTTTTAAATAATGAACTAATTCTAATTTTTAGCTCTCTTTCTGGCTAAAATGTTTTCTAATTCTGAGCATTTTGGGCCAATGTTTAAATAATTTTTTTTTAAATATTTCGGCTATTTTTTTAATGAAGCCAAACTAATGATTTTGCTTTTATATAATTTGTAAACACTGTGAGGAAACACGTTGTGTCTCTGTTGGACGTTCACCTGCTTCTGCAGCTGACTGAGTTGAGAGGACGTGGTCTCCAGACGGACTCGTATCTGCTGCAGCTCCTCGTGTGCCGCTCCCACCAGGTGGCTGCTCCTGTCCGCAGACTGACGAGCGTTTTCCAGCTGAAAAAAAATCAGGAAATTCAGTAAAAGATGGATTTGGTCGAAAAGAAAAAAAAACATCTTTATGCTCTTCCTCTGGCGCCACCTTGGTGTTGTAGGTCTTCTCGACTTCGTCCTTAAACATTTTGATCTGCACGTCGTGCTGGTTCCGCATTTCCACCAAGGCCTCGGCCAGTTTGCTCTCAAACTCCTGCTGACGACCGCTGTCCAACTCCACCATGCGGGACTCGTGACGCCGCTTCGTCTCTCGTAGTTCCTGTGGGACAAATACAGTTTCAAGGCTCCATGACTTTGACCAGTGTTTGATGTTGACGTTCTTCAGCCAACCTGCCAGTCCCACCTCAGAGTGAAGGTTCTTCTGGAAGTCCAGCTCCTCCTTCAGCGTCTGGATGCGGTTCTCTCCGTCCACCCTCCTCAGCATCTCGTCCTGCAGCTGCTTCCTGGCGTCCTCCAAACTGGTGTTGAGCTGAACACAAATCACATCACTTCAGCGTTTATATTTGACTCAGCAAATATAAACGCTCGCATCACGGCATCAAAATGTTTACCGTGTCTTTCCTACCGGTCCCACCCACTCTCTCTGTCTGTACCAAAATATGTAAACAGTGGAGTGGGGAGAAAAGTCTGGTGTGACCGTGTGACCAAAACAAACAGAGGATTTATTTTTAACGACCATAGTTTGGATTGTAAACAGGAGAAAATACCTGTGGACCTTTTTAAAATGCCCCAGATATTTACACCAGCGTGGGTTTTACTGGCCTCGTAAAGCTGGTAATTGACTTTTGGAACGACTACGTCTCCCACAGCCCGTGGTTCTGATCCCATGTAGGGCACATAGACTTTTATAAGGAGTCAACCAGTTTTATACCACACAGCGGGCTTTTTTTCAAAGTCTTAAACTTTAATGGTAGTCTAAAGTTTGTTGGCCTGAAATATAATTTTATGTAAAAATAAAAATATCTCCAAAACTCTTCCTTTTCATTTAGAGAACCTTCCCTGTCCCCCCCCCAGAACTCACACCAGGGGGCAGCGGCGGCTAACATCTGACTCTAACTCTCCGTTAGACGTACAGTTCAAACGTGAACCAAATGTGACATGGTAACATGAGACATGTGACATGGACATGTGACATGGTCATGGGCCGCTCTCAGGGAGACGCAGCCCAGATGTGTTTCCACTGAGTGTGGGCTGGGCTTCACCTTGGCGATCTGGGCCTTCAGGTCACGGTTTTCCACCTCCAGGTTACGCTTCTCTCCGAGGGCAGTGGACAAGGAGGCATCCTTGGAATTGAGCAGAGCCTCCAGGTCCTTGAGCCTCTGCAGCGCCCCCGTCAGGTCGGACTCCTTTTTGCCATTCCTGCAAAGAACAGCAGAGAATGGAAATTAAAAGAACTGGCTGGAAAAACTCTGTGGTTGGCCCTTTAGGGGGAAAACTTTTTTTTTTCTACATTTTTACTTGTAATGGACCAATGTTGAGTGAACTTTTTATTTTATCACATCATTACAAAACACTGTGTCTTTGTTGACCTTTGAGTTTCTTCTGACTAATATTTTGTCTGATTTTACTGTATTTCCTAACACGTGGTGAGTTTTTTTTCTTTTTTCGTCCGACGGCTGTGTCCACTTGAAGCAACATCTGACTAACTAAACAGAGACCTAAGGACATTGATTTTTTTTTTTTCCTGTGTAACCTGAGAACTGAGTGGAAACTGAATCAGTGGAGTGTAATAAAACAAATATGAGCTATTTTTGAAAAGAAAAAAGAGAAGGATGTAGCAGTCTGGATGAGACAGACGGAGGAAAAGACCTCGGCGAATATGAGTCATAAGGCACGGGAACTGTATCTGGTAACCGCAGGCCACAACCACAGTTGATGTTTGGCTCAAAGGCTGCCATGGAAACGGCCGGGCATTGCCAAACACACGGTGGACGTCATCATCTCAATATTTATGGAAAACTATAATGAAGGTGGAGTGAGTGAGGAGCCTTCTACACACTGCCACGTATT